TACAGATATCCAATTCTGGCGCAGATACATTGATGATGTCTTTTGTATATGCAAAAAAGGTCAGGAGAGCTTCATACTATCAACCCTTAATAATTACAACCAAGATATTTCATTTACTCTAGAAACTGAAGCTAACCATGTTCTTCCATTCTTAGATATCTTAATTATTCGCACCCCATCCTCATTTCACACGACAGTTTATCATAAAAAACAATGCCCCCCCTGCTACACTCATTACAATTCTCATTGCCCCACCTCCCATAAAATCAATATTGTTAGAACTCTTACAAAAAGAATTTCCACCCATTGTTCCATAGACATCTTCAAAATAATAGAAAGAAATCGCATTATAACCCAGCTCTCCGCGGCTTCTTTTCCACTCTGGTTCATTAACAAATATACTTATACACCTGCAACTTCCAATCCTTCCATGACATACAGATCATTGTGTTTTCTCCCTTACTCCCCCTCCTCTGTTGCTATAGCTAGAAAACTCAAATCCTATGGCATCCGTACCATATATAGAAACTCCCCGAACCTTCTTTCATCCCTCCGTCACCCTCATACTAAGTCCTCAGCTCCCCCTGCCCCCCTTCGTTCTGTGGGTGCAGTCTACTCCGTCTCATGTGAACAGTGCCCTGCCACTTACGTTGGTGAGACGGGTAGATCTGTATCCATCAGGATGACTGAACATTCCCGCAATATTTCCCGTCAAGATACCAAGTCCCTTATTTATCAACATATGCAGACCACAGGCCACACTTTCAACATCAACAACCCCACCATACATTACAGCCACATACATATCTTGCACCAAAGACTCATTTTAGAATCAATAGTATCCCACAAACTAAACAGCATCAATAGAAAAATAGAACTTCCTGAAGCCTATCATCCTCTCCTGTCCTTTATTTAAACTTCCCCCATGTATTTAGCTGTGAAAGGTCGCCCTCCCTGACGCATAGTGAGCTCTCCTGGCCTTTATGTGTGGATCTCTCTTTTGTATACTGGATATTCCATTGCAGCCATATACTGTGCCTCACTGATATTTCTTCCCATCAGCTGATGTTTTGGCATCTCTTCTATTACCCTATAGGATTTTTATTTTATTTCATTTTTATTTCATCTTTATTTTTATTTTTCTCACTTTTTTACAAATAGCTAAATTGTTCATTTGCATGCTTTTTTCTATATTTATGTAAATTAATATGTGTATATATTCGCTACAGCCATCGATATCGCTCACAGTGTCGTTATATCTTGCCCGTCGAAGGGATTTTTCCCGAAAGCTCGCTCTTATGCACCAATAAAGATACTCGTCTTCCTTCGCCTTGTTATTATCGTATAAGTTTACTCCAGTAAAATCTTTAATTTAGAAAAACACTTTTTTTACAGTATTAGTGAGGAAATATTGGATGTACATTTCTCTATTATAGTAATCTAAATCTATCTCTTTTTTTCTTGCCAAATAAGCTTAAATAAATGATAAAAAGATTCAATATAATTATTGAAAATTGATATGTTCCTATATTAAATTTACCAAAGAATCTTTCGATCTAAAAGGATCTTCTACAGGGCTACAAAAATTACATAATGCTGTTGTAGAAGATCTTTTTAAAAAACACGAAAGCTGGCTTTGTAAATAGAATAAATAGGTATATCAATTTCCCTCTAACGTTGTTTTGAATCTTTTCAATTCTTGATTATAGAATTCTGTTTTGGTTCATATAGTTATATACTTTTCTTTGCTTATCCCTAGTACACGTGGTATAGGCCATGATAATCATAGTGGGTAAATGTAGGCGACTGCGTTTACTGTAAGTGTACAACATGTCTACACATGTGAAAAGCAGTTCAACTTTATACTTAAAAATGTGAACCGTTTGGTTACTTGCATTCGCTGGTAGGGTTGGAATTTTGTAAGAATCGGGAGCCCTTGAAGCATTTTTTTAATTAGAAAAAGTGCCCAATGCGGGATTCGAACCTAGGTCGTAGCGGTCGAAAATCAACAGTTTAGATCATCCTTCCACCAACCACCCATAATTATATCCTTTAGGTGATCTGTCAACCCAAAATTCATCTTCACTCAAACTGTACAAGTTTACCTGGAGAAGTTTCCCTTATCCACTGAATATTGCCACGTAGAAAATTAGGGAAGGCAAGCTTCGGGATGAAACAGCAGTTTATTTAAGGCAAGAACAAACTATAAGGAATAAACACAAGATAATCAAATAAGAGAAGTTTACAGTGTAAGAAAAATAAATATAAAAATGAAACTCTATTAATAAAATAATACTTTATAATATAATGCACTGAGGCCTGTGATTGTAAAAAGACACTTGAAGTTACACCGCATGAGTTTCTTTTCAACGAAAAATCAAAATTTATTTCAAGGTGAAATATCGACTATTTCTAACCTTTTTGGATGAGGTATGAAAGGGTGAATTATGAAGAGTAATGATGAACGGAAAAATAAAAGTGTCCAGGGATGGGAATAATGGATTTCACGTATCAAGAAAAAGACATCTGCTTATCGTGTAACAGAAAGTCCTACAAGAGAAAACACAAGCTAGAGATATATGAACAGATATGTTTTAAAAGTAATTTATCCCTGAAAACCTGATATGTTAATCTTTTATATTGATATAAAGGATTATTATATTGTTAACTAGAAACTTATCAAATATATATACAGTTAAACCTGTCTACAGCGCCCTCTCTAAATAGCGCCTTCCTCTCTATAGCACCCGATTTTAAATACATAGTACGATGCGATTTACATTAAAAGTGACCTGTCTATAGCACCCCCTCTCTATAGCACCCTATTTTGGTGAGTCCCAAGAGAGGGCGTTATAGACAGGTTTAACTGTATGTTATATACATCGCAGAAAGAGCAAATTATTTAATTAGAAATACAAGCTAAGAGTTACAACATTTAAAAAATGGAGAGGACCTTATATATGACTGTCCGAACAATATAGAAATGTTTTCATAACCATTATATATTAGTAAATTAATTTTTTTTGCCCTCTATCGTTAAAATAAAAATAATAAAAAAAATAATAAATAAAAAAAAAAAACGCATTGCCAGTAAATTTATTTGTGTAAAATTTTAAATATAGAAATGAGACATCGATTGTTCTCTGATCTAAATAAATTAATTCTCTTACATTAGCCACTTTGTCTATATAAATTTTATGAACTCTGTCGATTAATACATATAAATTTGTAAATATATTTAATTATAAGTTCTAATTTGTTTCTTGCAGTAGGTATATTCTAAGATTTATAATGTTGGTTATGTTTGCAGTGGGTTCCTCCTTAGGGCTTCCACATTGGTCTACCAATTCCATCTTTCTCTACAGGTAGGATACTGTAGACAGCATGTAGATACGTCTGTTGTATTGTAGATACATCGAGGAATTGTCCTCTCCCTTGTAAATCCTTTTATTAATCAACCAGACGCGAAATTGAAATATTTACGCTTATTACAGAGTAAACAAACAAAACAACAAACAAATTAGAACTTAGAATTAAATATATTTACAAATTTACATGTATTATTTGACAGAGTTCATAAAATTTATATAGACAAAGTGGCTGATGTAAGAGAATTAAATTATTTAGATCAGGGAACAATCTATGTCTCACTTTGTAAATTTCGGACAGTTATAGATAAGGTCTTCTTCCTTTTGCAAATATTTCACGCATTGTTTCTCCAGTTTAATTAACAATGTGTGGTCTTATTAACAACATGGATAAAACTTTAGGAAGTTGTACCTTTTAGCATGTATATCGGAATTCAAACAATAACTCTGAAAGATACACTCATGGACAAAACTTAACGAAGTTGTACCTTTTAGCATGTATAACGGAATTCAAACAATAACTCTGAAAGATACACTAATGGACAAAACTTAAGGAAGTTGTACCTTTCAGCATGTATATCGGAATTCAAACAATAACTCTGAAAGATACACTCATGGACAAAACTTAAGGAAGTTGTACCTTTCAGCATGTATATCAGGATTCAGACAATAACTCTGAAAGATATTACAGTGACCTTTATTGAAGACACACGAGATAACCAAGTGTATATACACTCATGGACAAAACTTAAGGAAGTTGTACCTTTTATCATGTATATCGGGATTGAGACAATAACTCTGAAAGATATTACAGTGACCTTAAAAACAATTTCTATTGCCCTTACTCAATGGAAAAATGTTATAACAGCGGTATAGTAGATTAAACTGGCGAAACCGCTGGGAGGGTTCACCACTGATGAGCCAGGTCCTTACGTTAAATTTTCTATTGCAGTAAGGACAGTAGAAAAAGTTTACTTTTAAAAAGAATCATAGACGTCTATAATAGTTTCTAATTTTGATAACAGATGGCGCGCTAATGCATCATAATAAAAAAATGATACTCTGCTAATAAAATAATAAATACTTTGTGCTATAATATCTTTCTCAATTTAATAGAATTTAACGGATCAGAACGTCACAGATGAACTATAAAGAATAGAAAGAGAAATAGTCCGTAATGGCGTAACAAAGAATGGAAGAATTACCCTTGGTCTCTCTCATTAGGAGAGAAAATCTGGAATTAACCCTTCGACCAAATCGGCCCTATTAACTTCTTCTCCAACATTTCTCAGTTTTCTGAGACGTTGTCATTATGTTTTGTGAGAAGGGGACTTTTACCTCTGGCTCTTTTTATCCATTTTTGATATACAGAGAGAACTGATAAAAAAACGTTCAGCAGTTTCAATAGTTACATACGAAGGCCATCCAATGAATAAGTTTCCCTATTTTTTTAACAAATAAACAACATTATTTACAACTAGCCGAATGACCCGGGCAACGCCCGGGTTTTACCTGATTAAATGCTTTTATTCAAATACTATTCGTTACAATTATAAATTGGCGCCGTGGATGTCATTCTTGTATAATATATAAATGAGTTTTAAAAATTGTAAAAATATATATATTAAAAAATGCATCGGCCGGGAATCGAACCCGGCGAACGCCCGCGTGGCAGGCGAGCATTCTACCACTGACCCACCGATGGTTATGAGAAATGGCCATATTTGGGTATTTATTCCATTCACAAAGCAAACGGTGACAGAATTGATTAAGAATTGTTGCTTGATTATGACGCTGATAACTGTATTATTTACAATTATGCAGTTATTTTATTTTCATTATACAACTCATAGACTACTTCTCTACATAATCACCATTTCTGTCCAAACATTTTTGGTACCGTTGTAGCAATTTTTTGATACCACTGTTGTACCAAGCCGTGTCCTGTCTTCGTAGCCAGTGGTTCGCCTCCGCCTGCACTTAGTCATCATTCGCAAAGTGCTTGCCTCCAAGGTGTAACTTGAGTGCTGGAAAAAGATGGAAGTCGCTTGGGGCAAGATCAGGAGAATAAGGTGGATGTGTGAAAATTTTCCATTTGAATTTCTCGTATACCTTATATATATATATATATATATATATAAATCAATGTTTGTATGTTTGTTTGTTTGTATGTCCGGTATACAAATTCGCAGTAGTTCACTAATTCAAACCAAAATTCCATACATAGGTTAAAAAATACGAGGAAGACGATAGGCTATTTTAAAATATATATATAAATCAATTATTAAACCTATATATTCAAATTATTCTACTTAGCTCACGAACAGCGCCCTCTATCAAAGATTAGATTAAATTATGCTGATGCAAACAAATAGATAATGCTAATAACAAACAATTATTTAAAAAAATCTTATCTAAATATATATCACTCGGGTAGATATGCACACGGGTCAATCCGTCTAGTAGTTTAAATATAATATATTGGATACATTAATCAATGTGATTTATATTTAAAAGATTATCTATTTAAAATTTAGACACTTCACATTAAAATTAATATATATATATATTAAAACCAAATTAGGGGGGGGCATATTCTGAACATTAACATGAGCGTTTTTAGATAGCAGAGCGCCATCTAGTGGAACAGAAATCAACTAAACGTTGATCTAAACTGTTCCCTGATATATGGCTAACCCAATTTCTTGATAAATCAAGAAAAGCCATCCACGAACGCGTTTCGCGCTGTTGGTTCTCGTCAGCGTGGAGTAGACCGTATTTTTAAAATTATCTTTTCACACACACATAATTATGAAAAAAGACATCTCCTTATCGTGCAACTGAAAGTTGCTGATGTCTTGCGCCATCTATCGGAATAAATGTCAACTATTCTCGTTGATTTCATATTATTCTAGACCAATTTTTGATAAATAAATGACCAATTATTTTGGTCGTTGAGGTACAGCTTGCACCACGCTGATGAGGGCCAACAGCCCGAAACGCGTCCGTGGTTAGCTTTTCTTGATTAATCAAGAATGGGTATTTGGCCAATTCTGGAATAATTAAAAATCAACGAGAATAGTTGATATTTATTCCGATAGATGGCGCAAGCCATCAGAAACTTTCAGTTGTACGATAAGTAGATGCCTTTTTTCGTAATTATGCAAGTTATCCCAGTAAAATATCATATTTGTACTATTTTTTACATATATATATAGAAAGGTAATATGCAATAGAAAAAAATATATGCAAATTAATATCTCTCAAAACCTAGCTAAGCTACATTGATCTGTTTTGTTTTTATATATTTTAAAATTCATAATATTCAATTTTAGAGATTAACCATTTGTTTCCTTTATTCAATTTAAAAACAGATTTGTATATTTTAATGTTTCATTTATCTCTCTTAAATCTTTTAATAAATTGAATATTTTAAAAATGAAATATGCTTTATAGATTTAACATAATTATTTTCTACTAAATTATTTTATTCCACTAATAAAAAAACATCGTATTTATATTTATTCTTCCACGCAGAATTTTCAAATACGTTTAGAATTTTTATCAAATATATTTTTTAATTGTGACAAAATTTAGGCGTTTACCTTTATTTTGTTTTAGTTAAATTAATATATTCTACATTTTAATGGATATAAGAAGGTAGAATTTTCAAATTTCTCTTATAGGTCACCTCTTCCGTCAAAATAGACGCTAAAACTGAATTTAATCTATTGATCATCTCCATAAACTAGCGGCCTCGGGTCAGTGTCAAAGCCATAACAACAGATTTGGTACACAGAGAAGTGTCCACCTAGAGACCATCGTTTCGGGCTAATGGCCCTCGTCAGCCTAGGGCGGACTTTATTCCATGAGATCTACACCGTATCTGCCACAATCTGCCAAATAGGTGTTTAGCTGGTAAAGTGGCTAGGCCAAATCTATGGCTGAAATATAGATGGAAATTTTGCCGAAAGGAAATTGATCTATAAAAAAAGGTCGCCTCTATCGTCAAAATAGCTTAGTTTTAGCGTCTATTTTGACTGGAGAGGCGACTTTCATATATTACCCATTAATAAACGCCCAATGAATTCTATAAATATCAATGGGGAAATAATATTCATTGATATTTCCAATTTAAAATTTCTTTCTGGGTCTTTTGATGAAAGAAGAAAATGAAGACCTTCTGATCAATGGGAAAGTCTACACTCATGGATAAAACTTAAGGAAGTAGAAAGACTTTGTAGTAGTCGGTTTGAAGGAAACAGAGGTTGAACACACTTGGTTATCTCGTGTGTCTTCAATAAATGTTACTGTAATATCTTTCAGAGTTATTGTCTGAATCCCGATATACATGCTAAAAGGTACAACTCCTTAAGTTTTGTCTATGAGTGTATATACACTTGGTTATCTCGTGTGTCTTCAATAAATGTTACTGTAATATCTTTAAGAGTTATTGTCTGAATCCCGATATACATGCTAAAAGGTACAACTTCCTTAAGTTTTGTCTATGAGTGTATATACACTTGGTTATCTCGTGTGTCTTCAATAAAGGTCACTGTATTATCTTTCAGAGTTATTGTCTGAATCCCGATATACATGCTAAAAGGTATAACTTCCTTAAGTTTTGTCTATGAGTGTATATACACTTGGTTATCTCGTGTATCTTCAATAAAGGTCACTGTAATTTCTTTCAGAGTTATTGTCTGAATCCCGATATATATGATAAAAGGTACAACTTCCTTAAGTTCTGTCCATGAGTGTATATACACTTGGTTATCTCGTGTGTCTTCAATAAATGTTACTGTAATATCTTTCAGAGTTATTGTCTGAATCCCGATATATATGATAAAAGGTACAACTTCCTTAAGTTTTGTCCATGAGTGTATATACACTTGGTTATCTCGTGTGTCTTCAATAAAGGTCACTGTAATATCTTTCAGAGTTATTGTCTAAATCCCGATATACATGATAGAAGGTACAACTTCCTTAAGTTCTGTCCATGAGTGTATATACACTTGGTTATCTCGTGTGTCTTCAATAAAGGTCACTGTAATATCTTTCAGAGTTATTGTCTGAATCTCAATATACATGGTAAAAGGTACAACTTCCTTAAGTTCTGTCCATGAGTGTATATACACTTGGTTATCTCGTGTATCTTCAATAAAGGTCACTGTAATATCTTTCAGAGTTATTGTCTGAATCCCGATATATATGATAAAAGGTACAACTTCCTTAAGTTTTGTCCATGAGTGTACTTGAATGTGTGAAAATAATTATAAATAGTCAGGTGTATAAGCTCTTTCTCCTTAACATACATCTTTTAAATATATGAATGACTGTGGTGTGTCAAAATTGTTTAAATATCTAAATATTCTCACATTTATTTTAAAATATATATTTCATATTATTATAATAAATATGTCTATTATTATTGCTTCAACAAACTTTAAACTCAGAAAACAAAATTTATATTTTGATACATTAGCGCGCCATCTGTTAAGAAAATTTGAAATTATTATAGACGCGTATGATTCTTTTTAAAGATTAAATAATATCTACTGCCCTTACTGCAATGGGAAAATTAATAGGAGAGCTTGGCTCATCAGTGTGAACCCTCCCAATGGTTTCGCTAGTTTAATCGACTATTTATTAAATATATTGAAATACCATAGATTTTTTTAAATTATCCCTAGTACACGTGTTTAAGGCATGATAATCATGGAGGGTAGAAGTAGGCGACTGATTTTCCTGTAAGCGCACCACATGTCTACACATGTGAAAATCAGTTCGACTTTGCACTTACAAACGTGCCAGAGGCCCGTTTGGTTACTTGCACTCGCTGGTGGGGTTGGACTTTAGCAAGAATCGGGGGCTGTTGAGGCTTTTTTTAATCAGAAAAAAAGTGCTCAATTCGGGATTCGAACCCGGGTCGTAATGGTCGAAAAACCAACAGTTTAGACCATCCTTCCACCGACCGCCATACCATATATTGAACTGGCGAAACCGCTGGGAGGGTTCACCACTGATGAGCCAGGACTTTCCCATTAACTTTTCCATTGCAGTAAAGGCAGTAGATATTGTTTAATTATAAAAAATATTATACCTGTCTATAATAGTTTCGAAAATTTAATATTTAAAACAATGTGTTCCCATATTGATAACTAAAATAGAAGTTTTTATAAATAAAATTGTATATCACCAGTGGATATTTTATTTGGAAGGTATATAAGGTTTTATTATAGCCATCAAGTGAATATATCGTTTGGTAGAAAAGCAAAAGATATCTTCCGACCAATAGGATTATCTTGTGGTGTTTCTACCAATCGTATTTCTTCCCTTCCATTGGATAGCTGGAAATATTTAATGCATTCATCTTTAATAAATAATGTTTATTTTTCTCTATAAGATGTTTGATCTATTCATATATGTGAATATATATCTTACCTTTTCTTCACCTATCTTTTTTCTTCTTATGAATATCATAACATGTACATAATTGATGATTCTTTAATATGATTTATTTATTTATTGTTACACACACACACAAAAGCACGAAGTCCAAAAGACTATTGTGCTGTGCTAGTATTATTTACATATATATGATTAATTATTTACACGATGGATTAGTAGTGTTTTGTAAATTATTGTACAAATAGTTCTAAACTTAACAAAGTTCTCATAAGATAGAGTATATACACAAAGATA